AAAAAAAAAAAAAAAGAAGAAGAAGTTGATAAAACATGTAAATCTTTTATGTTAAGAAATAGAAAGTTTATTTATGTTATGAAAAACTAAATGAAATATGGCATACCTGGAAAGTATGCTCCAACTTGGTATTTACATAATAATTGTAAATTTCTCAACTTGGAACATAAATGTTTAATAATACTTGTACTTTTGTAATCTCTGCAGACAAGAAAGCACGATCTTAACAGATCTATAGTAATATCGGTTGTTGATTCTTGCCCTTCAAACTTACAGAAACTTCTCTAATTTGTATAATTTTGTCCTTATACTATATTTAGCCCTTGTTGGATCTCCATTATTCCTAAAATATATTTTTTTTCTCTTCTTTTCAACTACATATTTTTTGATAAAAAAATATTACTCGCAAAATTAATTTTTTTTCCTTATTTTTTAACCACAGATCCTCTATCAATTTACTATTCAATAATGTGTTCTTTGTCAAAAAATGAATTTCAAACAAAGGCTTAAAGTACTTCTCTCTCTCTCTCTCTCTTCCTTCTTCATTTTTTCACCTTTTTTCATGGTTCTTGATTTTGATGGGAGCATTTCTTTCGGTGAAGAGAAATATCACTTAATTTTTGTCACAATGTTTATAATATTATGAAATATAATTTATCTTTTTTACAATACTTATATCTCGTTTACTTACAACGAATTGACAAAGAATAAAGATGACAAAATGCTTGTTTACTTACAAATAATTAACAAAGAATAAAGATGATAAGAGTGCTCAGCATCGCTTCAGGGGACAATACAACCCTCAAACTCAATGGAACCATAATCAAATAAAGGGAACTTTACAAGTAAAAGCTTAACAAAATTAACTTCGATAATTAGAAAAACATAGAAAAGAATTCCAGTTCATACTATTGATTAGATGATGTATCAAATCATAATATACAACACAATGTTACTGTACAAAAAGATAAACCCACCTAAGCTTTTCAAACAACAAAATTTTCTCTAAAGCCAAATCCCTTCAATCTGGTTATATTCTGGCTGTAATCAAATCCTTTCAATCTACGCAATATATAAATTACCCACTTCAGCCTTCCGTTACATGAAGATAGATATACTTCATGAATAGCGACCACCATCAGTTTTCTCTTTCTTGATTCGCTCTTCTTGGATTTCTTCCAGTTCTTCATCATCCCCCCTTTGCCCAGCCTGCTCCTTCCAATATGCCACTAGCTTTTTCAAACGAGCCACTTCTTTAGACGATACATTTTTATTCGGGTCATTCACAATTGATCTTACTCTTGATGCATACCTGAATTACACGAAATAAAAGATTGTCAACGATAAAGTTTTACCACCACCACATATATTCCTCAAATGTGTAACCATTCAACTTCATCTTGAGAATTGGAAACTCAATCTTGCAGCTCATTCAACAAGAATTTTACCGAAATACACTAATCCATACCAAGAGAAGCAATCATAATGAAACAACAAAAAAATAATACTTCTAACTTTTCATAAACGTGGTGCCAACCACACAAACAAAATATTGGCAAAAGGGGTACCAGAGAGAGAGAGAGAGAGAGAGAGAGAGATACATTAAAGAGTTGTATGTCTCATCCAAATTTGATTCAGCTGGAGATATGTTGACAAACATCAGTGTTTTAGCATTGCCACCGAGAGAATCACTCATCAACATGGTCAATTTGTGGTTTCTGTAGGGGATGTGTTGATTGCCAGAAGACAAAGCACCAATTACATCCCCAAGAGCTGAAAGCGATTTGTTAATGCTTTGAGCTTCCTTTAGCTGACCGCCAGAAGAGCCAGACTTTTTCACTCTTTCAGAACCAGCAAGATCCACAAAGCTTAACTGCATATGATCAAAATACAAAATGTAAGAAAAACACTAGTCTAAACACGTGTTAAGGAAAATATCTTTTCAATCAAGACCATCAATTAGCAGAAAGAAAGGATACCATTTCAAGGTAAACTGGTAAAGTATGTCGAGAAAAGATTTAGCATATGACTCTCAAGTCTTGAGAAAAATCATTATGCACCAAATGCCTTGTATCAGAACATCTTAATTTCATTTAAGAACTCTCAAATGATGACACTTTTATACTCTAGATCAAGTATCCTAGTGATGTCAATGCGCCGAGCTGAGCCGGCTCGGCGCTTAAAGCCACGAGCTCGGCTCGGCTTGTGGAGAAACGAGCCACGAGCTCACGAGCCGAGCAGGCTCGTGGCTCGTTTGCTCGTGGGAGAGCTCGGCTCACGAGCCGAGCTGGCTCGGCTCGTGGCTCGTTAAATATTTTTTTTTTTTAAGCTTTTTTTTTTTTTAATGGTTTTTTCACGAGCCCGGCTCGTGGGCAGAGCACTCGTCTCCTTAACGAGCTGAGCTGAGCTCGACTCGTCTAGCGAGCGGCCCGCTCGGCTCTTGCTCGTCTTTTGACGAGCCCGAGTGGCTTGTGGGTCACTACAGTACGAGCCAAGCTCGGCTCGATTGCCACCACTAAAGTATCCCCACAAAAACAAAGGGGAAAAAAAAAACTTGTTAACCCATTTCACTGAATACACCAAAAGTTAAATGGAATCAGTCTAAAATATTTGGTAGCCACACTGTACCTGGCATGCAAAGATGAGCCACATTTACACATTCTACGTAAGGACATACTAGAATATCCTAAGCATCATTGTTTATTTCATAGAAATCCGACTTACAACTTGATATTTCTGTATAAACTGAAAATGAAGTCGGAAGTATGCACATTTTAGATTTATAACAAACATATACCAGACAGGTATAAAGCACCTGTTATTTGGTCAAAGTTGTGTGCATCTTTACATATGCATAATGCACTAAAAATAACTTTGTCAATACCTTTCCTCTAGCAACAGATTGAGTTTGAAGATTGGTACTCTCTATAACAACTGATAGTATAAGATGTGATCTTGAACTTTGCTCATTCATTAGAGTCCCAGTAGTATGACGCTGTTCAGATCCTCTCTGGATAATAGTTCTAAGTTCGTCATATGATGAAATGGATACAACTGTTACATTTTCCACAGCAACCATGCCCTGCATACACAGAAGAGACAAATTTGCATACGAAACGACATGAAGATTTAAATTTGGAATAGAAGGCACAAGAAGATTTAACTTGGAAAAGAAGACACAATAATTATCCCACATTTCCATCCTCAAGCATTTTGAAGTTCAAAAAAAAAAAAAAGTTAGCATATGTATTGTAATTATAATTGAGACATTGAAAAAGAAATGTGAGGTAGAAACTGTCATCTGATTTCTATATATGTCAATAAGATTTGCCAGGAAAAGTACCTTTGAATCTTTTTTGATATCCAATTTCAAACGCTTTGCATGCTTTGGTAGTAGAAGATCTATAAGTGTATCTTGATATAACTCCAACATATATGCCTGCATAGATTCATATAATCTAACACCATGTCATTCATCTTATTTCAATAAAAAGGACAAAATGAAAAAGAATAATGACATTTGCATACATCTTTCAATCTCATGATCACATCATTAGTTAGATATTAAATATAAAACAATACAACCCAATCAGATTCATAAAAGATATCGACAATTGTTATGAGCAACCATCATGATCTCCCATCAATCAGAAATCATTACCTTCAAAGTGAAGGAAAACTTATTACTATCTCTTTTCAAAACTCTAAAAAGTTCGGAAATAGAGCGTGGAGTGAGCCCAGGATTGCTCTCAGATCCATAAATGGTGAATGTCTTCCCTGAACCAGTTTGTCCATATGCAAATATACAGACATTGTATCCATCAACGGCAGATTGTACCAAGTACTGTTTTAGCAGGAAAAAAAATGGAAATGTGAATGAATTGAATATATTCAAATTAATAATGAGAAAAAGATGCAGATTATCAAAGAATTACTTGCATAAAAAGGTTAACATGGAATTTTATTGAACTTGCCTTTGTATCCTCAAAAACGTCCTCTTGAGTGGCATCCCCATCGAAAACATGATCATACATGTGTTGTTTTACTTTATCATCTCTCCACATATGCTCGACTGTGAACTCGTCAACATTTGTTAGAACAGATCTTTCCTTCTCTGAGATTTCTTTTCCACTAAGAGGCCTCAATCGACAGTAGACTCGAACTTTGCCTTTCATGTCTGAAAATTGTATGAAGACCATGGGGAATATCCATTAATACAGAGAAATCACTCAAAAATAAATATTCCAATTTCCAAATTACACCTATATCCAGAGGCGGACCCACATGGGGTCATGTGTGGTCAAATCACCCCACAATTTTTTTTTTGTTTTCAAGTTTTTTTTTTTTTTTAAAAAATTTTTGTAACTGGCCCAAGATA